GTGCTGTCTGGTCTCAAAAAGTGCATGTAATAACTATTCAAGTAGATGGGCCAGGATAAGACTCAATATTATTGTATGGCATGCTGTGATATTATCATCATTATAATCGCATGCAGATGATTGTGTTCCTGTGCACACATCAGGCCTCTGTACTAGCTAAGTTCAACCACAGTATATTCCCTTGTCTGCTTCTCATTCCATCCAGCATATCCTCCGCCTGCTGACCCTGGTCTCTGACTCACCAGTCTCCAGGTAATCCCCATCCGATCACAGGCAGTTTATGTATGATATGCTTTTCATTATTACTGCCATCCTCCTTTTTGTTAAATAAAGCCACTTGATTACAGCCTAAGACAATCCTGATCAGCACAAAGAAAAATCTCATAGAAAGTATATTCATTTCCACTCTATGCTACCAGTGCTAGACGTAGTCACTCACAGAAACTATATTCATTCCCACTCTATGCTACCAGTGACAGACGTGGTCACTCACAGAAACTATATTCATTCCCACTCTATGCTACCAGTGACAGACGTGGTCACTCACAGAAACTATCTATTACCATTCCCACTCTATATTTCATTCCCACTCTATGCTACCAGTGCCAGACGTGGTCACTCACAGAAACTATATTCATTCCCACTCTATGCTACCAGTGCCAGACGTAGTCACTCACAGAAACTATATTCATTCCCACTCTATGCTACCCTTGTGTTGCCGTAACATACAAGGCATATACCAAAACAGGAGAAGAACGTAGAGCACAAGGTAGACCAAGAACAAGATGGAAACATCACATCAGCGAAATTCTAAAATAACTGGATGTGTCTACAGTCAAGGCAGCCTGAAGAACAAGAAACACAACATGATATCTAATACAACACAGGAAGTGGTGAAAGAGGAAGTGAAGAATAAGGACAAGATAATAACTGTTACACTAAGTCATTCTGTTCAATAAGATTATTATTTGAATCCTGGTTCTTATGTTCGTCCTCAAAAGGACAGCTGGCATAGTGTGTTGTGGCTGCAGCCAGAGTACACACATAGCTATATCAATGAAATCAATCAATCAACCAGGCGCTGTCTCCACATTGAATGTCAGTTGCAACAGCATTTCAACAGGCTCTGTCTTTTGCCCTCAATGTATACTCTCAGACTGTTGTTCAGCCATCTATGGATCTAATCCTCCCAACTGTATTTTTTTTTTTTTTACGTATCCAGAAACCATGAGTTGTAAACCCTTTGGCTCGGTACTATGGATATCGCAACCCTTCGGCATTGATTCCATTATAGGTACCGTTAATCTGGGAAAAATGTGGCTTTTCTGCCTACCCCCGGGAGTGAACCCGGACCACAAGGAATTCGTCACCCGGCCGCCGCTAAAGTCAGGTTTAACCAACTTCGCTAGAGAGCCGGGCTTCCCAACTGTATAGCTGTCTGCCTCTTGCTGACATGCCTTAAATTTTCCACGGAAAGTTTTTTATAAGAGTGTTATGGAATTATATAAAAATATTAGGCACTCTTCTGAAGTATTCGGAAGAATGCCTATTTGGATAGCTTTTTGTGCTAAGTATAACAGACTGTAGGAGTACAGACCGTAATGTTTGATATACTTTAAAGTATACTTGTGAAACAATAATGAAATGTGACAGCAGGAGAACCTCTGTGCCCGCCCGCCGGCCACCGCCGCCGGGCCAGGCAGTGAGTGGAGACAGGCCACAGTCGTGCCAGTAGAGAATCCAGGCCGCCGACGGGAAATGTAGTCTGCTAGCTTGCTATCCACTCTTGATTCTCCAACGGCTTTTATCTCCCACATAGAACACAAACATTGACAAACTCATCAGCAAACTATACAGACATAATTACTTTTCTTCATCATTCATACAAGTCGTGAAAGTGCAGAAACATTGCTATAACGCAAATCTTTAAAACCACTCTTTGAAGTCAGCATAGACACCGTAGCCTGTGTTGTTTGGCGGCAGAAGTTTCTTCAAGTTTGGGAGAACTTTTACGGCCGGATAACTCCCTAATAGTTAATAATTCAGTGCTAATTTTGTGTAAACTCGTAACAACATGATTAAAGGAATGCAAATGTATGAATACAATACAAAACAAGCAGCTTCTTACCGATTTTAACGCGCAAACTTTCCTTCACTCGTACATCCTTATACTCGTCGTCTGCCATGTTTCTTGACCTACATCAACAACCGGAAGCCGGTGATCTAGCCTGCCTGACCGGGTCTTTATGAATCAGAACATTCACAAACATAAATATCTCACCTCCGTGGATCTGCACGGCCGGGTTCCGTCTCTAAGTGTACAGTCACGCCAGTATATACTCTATAATTGATACCCTCAAATGAAATTTTAAATACGTAAATGGGGTTGGTAAGGAGCAGGTGGATCACCACCGTCTGCTGGTGAGATTGATGCAGGGGGGGGGGGGGGGGGGGTGAGACGAGAGGTTCTGGCAGATGCTCAAGGCCTCAGAGGAAAGGCAAGATTGGCGTTTAATCAGAAAGCTACTGGCACCATTAGTATCGGAACTCTTCGCTGTCTGCTGGATAGCAACAGTCCTGTATGAGCGGCAGACTGCTTTTCGCCTAGGTTCGTCAAGCTCTGGACCACGAAGTAAGGCACCTGGCCTCCCAGTGTTTTTTTTATTTCCCCAGTGCTTTTCAATATAAACACAAGTAGAGCAGCGGCAATAGAGACAGTGGGTATGCGGAGAATCGACTTTTGCTGATGGTGGGTTAAGGTCGGTGTGTGGTGGGAGGGCACAAGCTCTGTCATCAATCCAGATAAGCCTGCAGTATTGTGGTATTCTTTTAAATATCAGAATTTTTAGAGATTACCCCAAAAAAAAATAACTATTATCTGTTTTACCACTTTTTTGGCGGTGTAGACGGAGCGGGGGGGGGGGGTGATGAGGTGTCATGAGCCCGAGGATTTAGGGTGGCATGACTAGCGTTGTCGAGAAAATTAACTAAAATGTTTAGGAATTACTTTTGACAGGAGTCTGTCTTTCAAATATTACGTGGAAGATTTAGTTTTAAAGGCAGGGAAAGGACTCATTGACTTGACGGTGATGGCATCAGTGGACATGGAACAGGAAATGCTCTATACACTCTACCAGCAACTGATTATTTCTGCCATGGAGTATGGTCTGCGACTGCTAACATTTTCTCTTACCCAAATAGATTAGTTGGATCGCGTGCAAAATGAGGCCATGCGAGTAATTATGGGGTGTACGCGAGACAGGCCAATTTTGTGACTGCGGCACATACTTGCATTTCCATCCATATGTGAGAAATTCAATGTTTCACAGGGGAAAATGTACCTGCAAGTCGTAATGGACAAGGAACATCTTATGCAAGAGGCCTTAGAAGATAACATGGGACAACGGCTGAAAAGAGATGGCTCTTGGATGGCACAGGCAGAAGTCACGATCAGGACTGTATGATCTTCTCTCTACACGTGGTGAAGAAAGGGTTACAGCGCTGACTAGTAAAAGACTTACACAGAGTGATAGTTACCCTGGACCGATGATGCCAGGTATGGATAGCTGGTGAAACAGAGTCAGCGGTGAGTGATAGTTACCCTGGACCGATGATGCCAGGTATGGATAGCTGGTGAAACAGAGTCAGCGGTGAGTGATAGTTACCCTGGACCGATGATGCCAGGAATGGATAGCTGGTGAAACAGAGTCAGCGGTGAGTGATAGTTACCCTGGACTGAAGATGCCAGGAATGGATAGCTGGTGAAACAGTCAGCTGTGAATTATAGTTACCCTGGACTGAAGATGCCAGGAATGGATAGCTGATGAAACAGTCAGCTGTGAATGATAGTTACCCTGGACCGATGATGCCAGGAATGGATAGCTGGTGAAACAGAGTCAGCGGTGAGTGATAGTTACCCTGGACCGAAGATGCCAGGAATGGATAGCTGGTGAAACAGAGTCAGCGGTGAGTGATAGGTACCCTGGACCGAAGATGCCAGGAATGGATAGCTGGTGAGACAGAGTCAGCGGTGAGTGATAGTTACCCCGGACCGAAGATGCCATGAATGGATAGCTGGTGAAACAGAGTCCGCGGTGAGTGATAGTTACCCCGGACCGAAGATGCCAGGAATGGATAGCTGGTGAGACAGAGTCAGCGGTGAGTGATAGTTACCCTGGACCGAAGATGCCAGGAATGGATAGCTGGTGAAACAGAGTCCGCGGTGAGTGATAGTTACCCCGGACCGAAGATGCCAGGAATGGATAGCTGGTGAAACAGAGTCCGCGGTGAGTGATAGTTACCCCGGACCGAAGATGCCAGGAATGGATAGCTGGTGAAACAGAGTCCGCGGTGAGTGATAGTTACCCTGGACCGAAGATGCCAGGAATGGATAGCTGGTGAAACTGAGTCCGCGGTGAGTGATAGTTACCCTGGACTGAAGATGCCAGGAATGGATAGCTGGTGAAACAGAGTCAGCGGTGAGTGATAGTTACCCTGGACCGAAGATGCCAGGAATGGATAGCTGGTGAAACAGAGTCCGCGGTGAGTGATAGTTACCCTGGACCGAAGATGCCAGGTATGGATAGCTGGTGAAACAGAGTCAGCGGTGAGTGATAGTTACCCTGGACCGAAGATGCCAGGAATGGATAGCTGGTGAAACAGAGTCAGCGGTGCAAGAGCAGATCAATGAAAATTCGCGCTCATTTGATATCTCAATTTATATAGATGGGTCTGTAGTGAGAGGTACGAAGTGGGTGGGGTTTTATTACAAAGGTGAATGGATACTACTTGAAAACAGAGAGCCTCGAGTACAACGTTATTACACAGAGCACTTGTGGAAATGTCCCGAGTACAGTGGTGTCAATTTTTGATACATTCATTCATAGCATTTAACATTCAACTAAAATGTGGTGCGTTTCTGGCTGTAACCAAATATTTTTGTTTCGCATTAATGTGAATACAGATTTTTTATTGCAAGGTAGTCATAGCGACGTTTCAATATGGCGATCGCTGGGGTGAAGTTAGCCAGCGACGGTGGATTTGTGACAAATTGTTTCCCTGCTCGTTACAGGTTTGGACGAACCAGTAGTGAAGGTAAACATGTACATTTTTTCACTAGCTAAATATGGAGCTATTAAATTCGGAAGAGTGCTAATGTTTGTTCATTCGCTGCATTACAATTTAGGGCACTCTTCCGAATACCGGCCCCATATTATTCAAAGACAAAAAATCCCATTCAGGGCCTCAAGAGGTCGTTGTTAGGGTCTTGAGAGGTCATGTAGTTAAAAATATGGAACAGGAACACTACAAACTATGCTTTCTTTTATTATATAATTTCGTTTGAACGAAATTACAGAGTCTTCGCTAGTACGTCACTTCAGTCGATCGAAAACTATTTCTCCCCACGGCGCTTAACTTTAAGCATTGCGCAGAAGTGAAAACTGATGATGGTGGCTTCAATTAAGATGATGATGGCAATTATGATGATGATGGCCTCAATTATTTCACGGCATTGGTACGTATTGTTCCATAATTTGTTGTTCCATATTTTGTATAACCTCTTTATAACCCCTTGACCTCTTTGTAACCCCTTGAACCCCGTGAGGCTCTGAAAGGAATGTTTTGGACAGTCAATAATAAGGGGCCATTATTCGGAAGAGTGCCCATTTTCACTCCTCTCATAACATGACCGAAAACTTATGACTGGTTTCTTCTGACGTCTGTGATAAGCTGTCTTCGGGCTCCCGCCTCTTTCAAAACCTCTTGGTTGCTTTTTTTTATGGTTTAATGTATTCTAAGCATTCTTCTGTAGAACCACTTCTCTGAGGCCTCAAGAAATAGTTTGGCCTGCCTACCGATTGTCCAGGATTCACAGCCATAAGTTAAAAATGGATGTATGTAGCAAGCAAGAATTCTTTTTTTAACCTTCAATGACAGAAATATATTGCATACAATGTTCTTATTTTTAAAAAATGCAGTTTTTAGCTGTCCTATTCTGTTTCTTATCTCAGTGATGCATCTTCCATCTGATGTTATCCATGTACCCAGATACTTAATTTTATGCATTTAAAAATGCTACAACTGTTGTCGTAGATTTAAAAAAAAACTAACATAACAGCTGCATTTCTGTACTTCAAAAAAAAATTTGAATATAATTACTAACTTCTATGCTTAGACATGGCGGCCATGATAGTTAAAATTGATATCCAGATTTTTTGGTTATCTGGCACATACCCAAAACAAAACAAAAAAAGAAATTATCAAACAGACAATGCTGCTAACCGAAAATAATGACGGCTGAAAAAAAATACTAGAGTGGTTGTGAATTTCAGAAACGTAAATCATATACCTTAAATACTGAAGTAAGTATTTCAAGCAAACTACTAAATAGACAAAAATATTTTTGAAAGTGTGACTATGATAAGCATGAATGGCATACTGTAGATGTGTAGGAATACGATTTTTGAAAAGTTTCAAATCAGAATACATTATAAAATAACATTATAAATCAATGTTTTAATTCTTTGTAGAAATGAAATTAGTGCTTCCTTCAACAAAATTACCTGCATGTAATGATTTATTTATTATAAAATTGAAGTGGGTAAAACATCAACAAAACGTGTTATATCGTGAATCTGAAGTAAGACAATGTGGTCACTCAAATCTGGTTCAACACTTGCTGAAATCTGTTCCTTGTGAAACCTCCCAGATTTGTGTAAAAATTGCTTCTGACAGCGCTTTGCTAATGCAGTTTCCACTTATGGACCATTGTCTACGGTTTCGCTGCCTAAACTACTGAGTTTAGTGCTTGGTGCAGCCCTGTGAGCTGTGTTTTTCATGTGGATTGCTTTTAATTTGTGCAGTGGTTGTTTTGTGGTATTCAATATGGCCAGTAGCTGGTTTACATGTGAGCTGGTAATATACCTTATTTAATCTTTCTACGTGTGTATAGACAACTTTTCATGTCGGACTACTTCCATTAATGACAAACCGCATTTCTGGTAGCAACTGTTGGCTTTGGCATCTCTAGCAACTGCCATATGCATTTACTGCATGCACATATTTCTAGATTGTGCCAGGACTAATTGTACACCAGTTTTTCAAATGGGACAGTGAGGGATGTTTCTTTTGATTTTCACTGTCACAGGAACAAGCAAGAATGGGGAAACCCCTGGCAGTGAAGTTGAAACCTCGACTAAGACAAAGACAGATTACAGTGTGCTGTATACAACAGTTAAAATGCTTTTAACTTAGTTGGGCTTCCAATACGTCAATTGCAGTTTACCAATCAATCAGCAAGCTTTGAGAGGTAGCCCGCCATGAAGTTGACCTTTATTGTGTATGTATGTGTGTGTGTGCATGTGTGTGTGTGTCTAAGCAGACTAGCCAGCCCTGCTGTTTCTTAATGGTATAACATTTATTGAATAACATAAGCGTCACACAAAATACGAACTTATTTATAACATATGTTTTCAAATCTGATCCGGGAACAGTCAGATTTCATTTCATTAGGACGTCATTTGCTTGAATCCGAACTGAATCCGAACATGCAATTGACAAGGACAGTGCTTACCGTGTGATTCACCACACACCTATCAGACGAGTTTTGAGACTGACCAAAGCTTTATTTATAAAAATGTGTAACCCTTTCTTATGTAGGCAGAAAGAACTAATTGTTGATGTGAAATTACCCTGGTAAGTCGCTTGACTGTCGTGAACTTCTGGAGATTTGACAGCACTGGATCACAAGAGGCCATTTTGAATTCCGTTTGAGTTTATTCGTTTTTATGCTTCATTAAATATTGAAATCACTGCAGTAATGCACATGATGAGATGCACCTGATGAGATGCACATGATGAGATGCACCTGATGAGATGCACATGATGAGATGCACCGAGAAAGGCCGGCACTAGATTATGCAATGAATTGTTTGTGTCCCCATTATTTCAATTCATTATTGGAAAACATTGTTTTGAATACCTGTATAATGTTCATGTCTTGTGACACCTCTTTTGACTTGAAGTTTTTGTAGTCTTTTGAATTTTGCTGACTCATCTTCATCCTTAGCATCATCTACTCATCCTGCCTATAAAGGTTGAGAATGTTGACCCGGTCCACTGATTGTCATGTATCTACCATGGCCCTGCCTGCAAGCCAGTCTGCTCGTTCATTCCCTCTTACCCCAGGATGCCCTGGCACAAAAATCATATTAATTCTATCAGAAAAGATTTTCTCAGAGACTCCAGCCATGGTCTTCAAACCCATCCTGTCTCAGTCTTCTTAAGCATGCTCATGGAATTGTTTAGAAAACATGTCTGAGAAAAATGCTGAGTCTCTAGCCACATTCATTGTTTTTATTACCACTATCATCTGCATATTGATTTCCTGCGCCCACCTTGATGCTGATCAGTTCATGCCTCCTGCCTCCTGCCCTAGCAACTGTTTCCTCCAGTTCCTGCCTCCTGCCCTAGCAACTGTTTCCTCCAGTTCCTGCCTCATGCCCTAGCAACTGTTTTCTCCAGTACTGCTCTTTGACAGTGTTTTCAAAATTCTTCTGCTTATATTTCTTGAAGCAAGCGGAGCCTGGGTGCTGGCACATGAGGATGAGCAGAAACGAAGATTTAAAGCTGTGCTGTGTGCTAAACATAGAACATACAGCCAGATCAAAGAACAGCGCAAAAATTCTGAACTTGAGGCACCAAAACTGGCCACTGACAAGTTAGATGACTCTAGTAAGAAAGTCGACACAAGTGTTGATATTTTGGACAAGCATTTTCTGGTATGTTTTGTTTTATTGCTTGTCAAAAAAACTGTAAACACATTAAATGCAGTTAACTGAAAAAAGCTATACCTTATGATCAAAGATCTATGTTGCCAGTTTTTGCTGAAATGTGTACTCTTAACTAAATGTTTTTTGTAATAACTAAAAGAATTGTTTATTTCTAGATAAAACTGGACTTATGGTCCAATATTGTGGATAGGCAGGTCTGTCAGTTATAACCAAGCTATGTTTGCTTCTGGCCATGGTTAGCTAACAAATGTTTTAGCTTATAAAGACTGGGTTCCATGGTTTCAAGTTCACCTACTCATTAGAGAGCTGGGTGTGACACCGTATGCTGTCTGTTTTGTGCGGAATGTCTATTGTCTATACCCTTAACAGTTTATGTTGTGATATTAAGAAAATGGCAGGTGCACAGCTTGCGGTCAGATTGGTAGTGTGCCTTATATTATAACATTGCATTTGCTACTGACACCTCGTCAGGACTGACTACTCCCATGTAATTAATGGTGTATTGTAATTTTAGTGACAGACTGTGTTGGCTTCTCTAGCTGCCTGTCTCATGCATCTACTGCAAATTTCTGGATTTTTCCGGGTCTACTTCCTTTCTTCATTTTCTAGCAGAACAGTGAAGAACACTTTGTATGATTTTCAAAGTCACAGGAATGAAACAGTTACAGCGTGACCTGTTTCCAGAGAAATGGAAATCTCAGCTACTGAGTGCTTCCTTCTAGGGAAAGTAAAGACTACTGCCATAGTCAAGAACCTGTGTTCTTCTCATGTGAGGCTTTCTCACTGAAAACAGATTTGACACTTGTATCTTCAACATCTTTTTGGCTATTGCCAGTCTCTCACAAAAATTAGATCTGCCTTATGTTACTATTAGCAACCAAATCTGCAGCTGGTTAATCCAAACAGTTCTGCTCTACCCAGATGAAGCACTGCTGCATTGATGATCCCAGTGACCTGTGTTCCCTCAACATTTCCAGCAGACAACTGACAGATGCAAATGAGGATGACCTGCTTCTCTTCAAGAATGTTGCATATATTAATGCAGGAGAAAACTTTCTACCATTCGGTTAGTCTTTGTAACTTGCTCCTGGCCAGTCTGTACAGCTTGCTTCTGAGGAGTGTCCTGTCTCTTCAGTGTTTCCTGTTTACCCCACACAGTTTCTGTTCTTCACATAGTTGTCCACACACAAATTTCTCTTTCAGCACACACTTTTAACCAGTTTCAGAATATTTTTCATGTCATGCTTTCTGTAGTTATCACATTATTTTGTTTAATTTTCGTTAATTTTCCTAACCTTTCCAATCTTCCATAATCTCTTCTTCATCTTTCCTCCGCCCTTCTTTCATTCCTTCACATCTCTCTGCCATCCGTACTTCTACTCCCATTCACCTTTTACCATCTATAATTTTCCCCCCGCTTGCCTCCATTCTTTCATTCCCACACTCTTTCCTCCAACTGTCATACATTCTGTTCTCTTTCCTCCTTCTGGGAGCCACCGTGGTGTAGCAGCTAGATGCTCACCTGTGGATCAGAAGGTCATGGGTTCAGGTCCTGATAGAGCCAGACTTTGGCTCCCAGGTCCACCCAGCCTTGAGTGGCTCCCAGGTCCACCCAGCTTTGAGTGGTTCCCAGGTTGACCCAGCCTTGAGTGGCTCCCAGGTCCACCCAGCCTTGAGTGGCTCCCAGGTCCCCCCAGCCTTGAGTGGCTCCCAGGTCTACCCAGCCTTGAGTGGCTCCCAGGTCCACCCAGCCTTGAGTGGGTACAAGTTCCACCCAGCCTAAAGTGGCTTCCAGGTCCACCCAGCCTTGAGTTGCTCCCAGGTCCACTTAGCCTTGAGTGGCTCCCAGGTCCACCCAGCCTTGAGTGGCTCCCAGGTCCACCCAGCCTTGAGTGGCTCCCAGGTCCACCCAGCCTTGAGTGGCTCCCAGATCCACCCAGCCTTGAGTGGCTCCCAGGTTCACCGAGCCTTGAGTGACTTCCAGGTCCACCCAGCTTTGAGTGGCTCCCAGGTCCACTTAGCCTTGAGTGGCTCCCAGGTCCACCCAGCCTTGAGTGGCTCCCAGATCCACCCAGCCTTGAGTGGCTCCCAGGTCCACCCAGCCTTGAGTGGGTACAAGGTCCACCCAGCCTTGAGTGGCTTCCAGGTCCACCCAGCCTTGAGTGGGTACAAGGTCCACCCAGCCTTGAGTGGCTTCCAGGTCCACCCAGCTTTGAGTTGCTCCCAGGTCCACTTAGCCTTGAGTGGCTCCCAGGTCCACCCAGCCTTGAGTGGCTCCCAGGTCCACCCAGCCTTGAGTGGCTCCCAGGTCCACCCAGCCTTGAGTGGGTACAAGGTCCACCCAGCCTTGAGTGGCTCCCAGGTCCCCCCAGCCTTGAGTGGCTCCCAGGTCCACCCAGCCTTGAGTGGCTCCCAGCTCCACCCAGCTTTGAGTGGCTCCCAGGTCCACTCAGCCTTGAGTGGGTACCAGGTAAAGTCCTAGGAAGTAAAGGCAGCCAGCGGGATGTTGACCACATCACCTACTGAGTGCCGACTGGTCTATAAAATATAGATCTGGCTCTGTATGCTCAGTTTGTCTAAAGGTGTCGAGAATAATCCCTTCCTACATACGTCCTTGATTCTTTTTGACATGTTGGCTTCTTCAAGTCAGATAAATGCTTTCAGAAGAAAATATGTTACAGCAAGTTTCACTCCAGCAAGCAAGTTTACAAGGAGCAGGCAAAGCAATAAAAAAAATACATAAAAAGCACATTGAAAGGATCAGTGAAGAAGTACGGCATTGACTTTAAAAAAGATGGTAGAATATTGTTGACAATCGCTGTAATCAATCAGTCAATTCTTATTGCGTCCAGAGACACATAAGACAGAGACCAACTGTCGCCACTCAATTCGATCCTGAATCATCATCTCTATCTCAAGTTTTGTCCTTCACGTAGCCTTTTCAGCCTCAAAGGTTCGCCTCCAACTGCCTCTGGGCCTGCCTCTTCCTCGCTGTCCTTGTGGTGTCTATTGCACTGCCTGTCTCGACCATATCTTTTTCTTCATTCTGAGGACAAGTCCATTCCACCTCCATCTTCGGTTTTTAAATTTATAAATTTACATCTTCTAAGTCTGTCATTTGTTTTAATCTAGAATTGCTGATTTGATCTTCCCATGTGACCCCCAACAATCTTTTGAGAAGTTTTTCCTCAAAACCTCTGAGCATGTTCTCTATCTTTCTGTCTGTTTTCCAAGTTTCTGCTTCATAGAAAAGACCTGTCTTAACGTGTGTTTTGTACGTCCTGAGTTTAGTTTTTAATGCTGTAGATGTTTAATCTCCAAACACTCTGAAGTCTGTTGGAAGCAGCATTTGCCTTTGCAATTCTACATTTTCATCTGAGGAGATATTGCTTCCCAAATAAGGGAAGTCAGTTATGATTTCCAAACTTATATTATCTATTACTATGGATCTTTCACTTTTGGGGTTTGTCTCCAGCAGTTTTGTTTTTTTGACATTAATTCTTAACCCTGTCTGTTTTGCCAATGTTCTTTACTTTGGCTGATGACGCAGATATCCTCTGCAAAGTCCAAATGTTCCAGGTGTTCGAGAAGGTTCCACTGAAGGCCAGTCTGTGTGCCTTTGGTTGCTTATTTTGTAACATAATCTATCACTATGAGAAACAAGAAAGGTGACAGAATGCACCCATGTAGGACTCCTGATGTTACCCTGAAGTAATCTGTTTCCAAGAGTCTTACTTTCACTTTGCATTGGTATCCTTCATAGAGTCCTTTAAATATGTCTAGAACTTTATCTGGTAATCCTTACACAGCAAGGATCCTCCACACCATTGTTTCATCTAGACTGTCAAAGGCCTTTTCAAAGTCTGTAAAGTTTATATATAATGTGGCATCCCATTCTAAAGCTTGTTCCACAATATTTCTGAGAGTGAAAATATGATCACGGAAGTTTCTTCCTTTTCTGAATTCTGCCTGATCTTCCGACAAAACTCTGTCTATTGACGTCTTCATTCTGTTGTATATCACCCTACAGAGTGCCTTTCCGGGTACAGAAAATAAAGTTATGCCTCTCTAGTTGTTGCAGTGTGAGAGATCACCTTTCTTCGGTTGTGGGATGATTGCATCATTTTTCCAGTCTGTTGGGACCACCTTATTTATCCATATTTTGTTGAATATTCCATGCAATGTTTTTTGCTGTAAATTGTGGGTCTGCCTGAAAAATGTCAGAACTAATTTGGTCTTCACCCGGTGCCTTCCCATTCTCCATACTGCTTATTGCCGTTTCTATTTCTTTAATGCTGATTGGCTCAATTTCTATTTCTAGGAGTTGGCCACAGTTTTCGACTGTTTCCACTGGGATATCTAATCTGGCCTATTTAGCAACTCTGTAAAATATTCTTGCCATCTGTCAACCTTTCCTCTTTGCCTTGTGATTGTTTTCCCTGTTTTGTCTCTCAGGTTTCCTTTATTAAAGCTAAAATGTTTCTGACTAAGATCCTGTGTTGTTTTATACAATATTCTAGTATCATTGCTGCTTCTTCTGCTTTGGTAGCTTTGAGTTTCAAGTTTTCCTTTTTGTCTTTCTTTAAGCTTTTCTTTACTTCTTTATGTTTAGTGTTATATGCTTCATATGGGGCCATCTTTTCCACTGTGCTCTTTGCGAGGTTTATTTGCTCCTTTTGCATTTTTCTTTCTTCAGTCTTTGGCCAAGGTTTTTTAGATATCCATTCCTCTCTTGTGTTTTTCTTTAAACTGAGTATTTTCTGGGCTGCATTGCAGTACACATCTTTAGGCTGTGCCCATTCTTCTTCAATGTTTGCTGCCTCTGGTCGGTGATGAAATATGTTTTTAAAAAAATATATATATATATAATTGGAGAAACAACAATAATTAAACAATATTACTGGAAAAGGCTAACCTGGTCAACAAATGGCTGCAGAAATCGGATGTGTCAGTCGAAAGGCACAAATATCACAGCTATGTGTAAACGAGCATAGCCCAATTACATCTTTGGATGAACGCAGAAGAAGAAGCAACAACAACAACATTGAAAACATAACCCTACTAAAAACATAAACAATGCAGTGAGCAGAGCGGCATGTTTTTGTTTGCTCCCAACAGAAGTCTTTCGCCAGTTTTATTCTGTGAGAGAATTAGAGGTGCCTCTCAATGGACTGCGAAGTTTGAAAATATCACACACAGATTTCACAAACCTTGAGGTGAGTTTATGAATACTGGTTGGTTGCTTGTCATTGATTTAGTTTCTGTTTGGGTTGAAGGGGGAGCAGCAGGCTGAATGTTAAGTACATTAGGCTCTGATTCAGGAGTTCTAGTCTCAATTTCCCAGTAAACTGACAGTCTTTTGTTTTTGTCAAGGCAACAATAACATCCTAATCTGCACAGTTTGTGGCAACTTCCCTGGGTGAATTATCCAAATTAACCAAGACTGCCATGTCGACCATGACTAAAATGTGTCCAGGACACAGAATACAGGACACAGGACACAGAATACAGGACACAGGACACAGAATACAGGACACAGAATACAGGACACAGAATACAGGACACAGAATACAGGACACAGAATACAGGACACAGGACATAGAATACAGGACACAGGACACAGGACACAGAATACAGGACACAGGACACAGAATACAGGACACAGAATACAGGACACAGAATACAGGACACAGAATACAGGACACAGAATACAGGACACAGAACACAGGACACAGAATACAGGACACAGAATACAGGACACAGAATACAGGACACAGAATACAGGACACAGAACACAGGACACAGAATACAGGACACAGGACACAGAATACAGGACATAGGACACAGAACACAGGACACAGAATACAGGACACAGAATACAGGACACAGAATACATGACACAGAATACAGGACACAGAACACAGGACACAGAATACAGGACACAGAACACAGGACACAGAACACAGGACACAGGACACAGAACACAGAACACAGGACACAGGACACAGAACACAGGACACAGAACACAGGACACAGAACACAGGACACAGGACACATGACACAGGACACAGAACACAGGACACAGAACACAGGACACAGAACACAGGACACAGGACACAGAACATAGGACACAGAACACAGGACACAGAACACAGAACACAGGACACAGAACACAGGACACAGGACACAGAATATCCTGGATACATTTTTAGTCATGGTCTGCCTGGCAAACTTGGCCAGTTTGGATAATTTATCCAGGGATTGGAACTTATGAACATCAGGCTAGCAGGAATATGTGCTATTCACTGTACTGTAGAGACTCTCTTGTTGCTGAACATAAAATGGCAAGACAGGGTCTCTGACACCGAAGTCCTTGACAGAGCTGGACTTCCCAGTATATGTTAAATTCTAAAACAATCACATCTTCACTGGGCAGGTCATATAGTCCGCATGCCTGACCACCCAAAAAAAAAAATTTCTATGGTGAGCTACTAAAAGGAAAATGCTGTCATGGCAGACAGAAGAAATGTTTCAAGGACAACCTCAAGACCTCACTGAAAGACTTCTATATTGATCATAAAACTTGCAAAGTTGCTGTATGTGACCGCTCAAGCTTCCACTCCTCTCTTCAGCTCATGAAGCTGCTAGAACTGCAGTCGCAATTCAGGAAAGACACTGAAGCAAATCACCAGAGAGATGCAACAATAATTCCCTGTCCACATTGCTCAAGAACTTTCAGTGCTAGAATTGGCCTTATCAGCCACAAAACCTAACCCAGTCACCATTGGATGTAAGGATTAGTCGTCATCACCTGTGATGGGCAAATAACAACAGAGACTCCCAGAACCATCTAACAAAAACAGTAATGTTTAAAAACCATACAAATGATGGTTTTTATCTGCATCACACATTGACATGTATACAAAATGTTTTGTGTTTTTCAACATAAGAAAAACAGATTTTGTTTCCATATTTTCTCATGTTCAGGTTTTAGATATCTCATACAACAACCTTTCACCAGATGACCTCCTGACCCTTGGCCTCCTGGCTCACCTGAAAGTGCTGCACTTGACTGGAAACAACTTCAGCAGCCTGCCTCCAGATTTAGCAGTGCCCTATTTGTCCAGGGAGAAGTAGGTCAATTACAGGCATTTTGAATAAGATCTTCACTTTCATTTTATCTTGTAGGCAAAGTTGACATCTGCAGGTAGTTTAACTGCTGATTTAGAAATTTCTTGACCAGATAGCGATTACACATTCTGATACACAGCAAAACATTTATCGATCAGTCGGTCAGTTTGTCCCCTCTGGAGTTCTACCTCAGGATTTTTCTTGAGATTAGGCAGTCTCAGTCTGGACGGTAGACCAACAAGGCAGATCTCAGATACCTTGTTCAACCTCAAAAGGAGTTATAATTAGGGTACCCATGATTGCTACACCAGCCAGGTGTCACTTGCAGTCCGAAACAGGGTGGGAACCTCAGACATTTGAATGAATTCACCATTTTATATTTTATTTGTGAACTATGAAAAGCTATATAAGAAATGAAAATATAATATATGAAAATATATATAAGAATACTAAAGCAAGAGAAGCTTCAATAACTATTCTCTAAAATATGTGCAAGTAACAAGAATTTAAAGAAGGATTTTTCCCCTAGTATGATTGGGTTTAGTCTGTCTTTGTCCCCAGTTAAGCATAACTGCGCATAAACTTTGATGGATTTTGTGGTTATTAGAAATTACCAGCATTTATTGTTTACTTTGTACTGTTATTTCAAACAGGCAAGTGCGTCTGCAGAGGTTTCCTTGTTTAGAAATTCTTCTCTTGGACGACAATAAACTCATGGACATGGAGGTCTTTGCTGCTCTTGCAGGACTTCCTAAGTATGTTTCCCTTTCTCCTGTTGCCCAATTTTACAGTTTGCATTTATCAGTTATTTCTTGTTTGTTTTACAAGCATATAATTCAAATGTACAGCTGTCTTGTATGTGCTTGGATGAATGAGAGTTGTTTGGTCTGAGATCTGGAAGTGGCCAGGTGCAGTGTCAAATATGAGGGTACTGATGATATAAATAATTCAGTAGCAGCCTTTTTTCCATGTAGAAGTTGTGGCAGCTCAGTCACTAGCACACATATCTGCTTGCTTGTTAGCCATGGGCTTAAATCTCCCTTGAAGTGGATTTAAAAAAATGACATAAGCTTCCGGGTTGGCTCAGCCTAAAAATGGGTATCAGAAAATGTCCAGGGGAAGTGAAAGTGGCTAGGGTGGTATTAATGACATGACTCATCTGGTGGGGATTAGTCTTGAAATAGGGGCCATGACCAGATGTCAAAGAGGCTACACGGTGGAGAAATAGGGGCCATGACCAGATGTCAAAGAGGCTACACGGTGGAGAAACGGTTCCAGCAGTCCCTGACTTACAGGGCTTTGAGAACTTAAGACAGACAATGATATTGTTTTGTCAGATCAAAGACAGACAGTTAACAATGTTTGGTTTTTTTTTTCCAGATTTAAGACAGATGGTTAGAATGTTTTGCCAGACAGACAGTTACAATGTTGTTATTTGTTTTTTCAGATCAAAGACAAATGTCATAATGTTTTTTCATATCAAAGATAGACAGTTATAATGTTTTTTCAGATCAAAGACAGACAGTTGTAATGGTTTGTGTGTGTGTGTGTGTGTGTGTGTGTGTGTGTGTGTGTGTGTGTGTGGATATCAAAGACAGATGGTTAAACTGTTTTTTTTTTTTCAGATCAAAGACAGTTATAATGTTTTGTCAGATCAAAGATAGACAGTTTTTTTGGGGGGTCAGATCAAACACAGACAGTTATAATGTTTTGTGAAAACAAAGGAAGACAGTTAGAATGTTTTGTAAAATCAGAGTAAGGAAATTATCATTCTTGCACATGTTAGTAGCAAATTTGCAAAGATTTGCACTTTGAATTTCTAGATGTCAAAGACTGTTTTTAACTCCTTCAGAAATAAACAAGATGGTATGTTTATCCCTAAATGGGGCAGTGGATTGGACATCTAGCCTTCATGGTTAACTGTGACAATATTGATGGTCCCGTGGTGACACTACACACATGATCAATCCCGCAGTGACTGAATATCATATACTGTATTATGTGTAGTCTGCTGCACAAGTTACACTTGTAAAATAATAAAAGTGACACACTGAAAATGTCTGATTCTGCGAAACACAAATTGGATCCCCACTTGTGCTGTGGAATTGTGTACACTGTGTTGATTGTGAGTGCACTTTGGGAGGAGACTGGAGAGTTGTTCAGACAATATAGCTGTCTGGATGTAAACCTGTACTTTCTGTCTGAATAGTAAAGGTCATATACCCCTTGCTGTAATTCTTGAGTCTGGGCCTGCTATGATATCAGTTGCCAGACTTAGTATTCAACCATTTCAGCCAGATTTTTGATCCGAGGAGTAGCTCTGGTAGCCCTTTCTTGTGAAAGCTAGGTATACAGTGAGATGTGCTTCTTGCAGACAATATACGTCTACTTGTTTTTCATTCACAATGTTTTTGTACTCTAATTAGTTTTAGTTAGCTTCCAACACTTTCAATGCATTGTTCTGAGTGTTTGTTTGGTTTGGCCAATCACTCTATTCTCATTCTCTGGTTTAACAAGACATCTATGAAGGACGTTCTCTACAGCATTATAATTGAACCCTTTGAAAGCTGCTACACATGGCTGAGAGTCCCTCACAGGACGGGCACAATATTGTTTTATAGATATTGGTAAATGTCTGTTGTGTGTGGACTGCATATCCTGATTGTTAAGTGCATCTATTGACTTTTGCCTCTGTCATCAGTATCTGATCTTGCTGAGGTAGAGTGTGATCTGACTCTGGTTTAGATAAGTGTAAATGCATTGCGTTTTTACCATGACAGAGTCTCACTGTACTATCACTCCTTCTTCTGTTAGTTTACACAGTTCCTACAAAAATGTGTGATTTTTTTTTCTCAGGCTGCGTCATCTTGACTTGTCAAAAAACAAAATCTTCTGTGTACCCCAGTTGAAGGTGGTCCAGGGGCGGGTTGTCACTCAGGATGGAAAGGAAAGGAAGAGGTGTAGGCGACCCCGAAGTAGCCGAAAGAGTGCCAAATGTTTAAAGTCTCGGAGTTTGGGAGTTGAGCTAGGGGCATCTGTTACTGATGTAGAGATTCCTACAGAGAGTCAAACTGTGACCCATAGAAAGGATGAAACAGCAGGAGAGGATGAGGCGGTGGAGCCAGATGACAGCAGGCAGTGTAATACAGGTAAAGATTTGGTTTGCATATACAGAATACAATAGACTAGAAAAGATAGACAGAATAACATAAACAAAGTGCAGATATGCAGACACAAATAGACTAGAGTATAAAATGTCACAGATTAGAATTTGCAATTAGTCAATACAATTTGCAGTTGAAAAAAGAATTCTTGCTTGCTACATACATCCAGTTTTAACATATGGATGTGAATCCTGGACAATCGGTAGGCAGGCCAAACAATTTCTTGAGGCCTCAGAGATGTGGTTTTACAGAAGAATGCTTAAAATACCTTGGACAGCCAAAAAGAGCAACCAAGAGGTTTTAAAAGAGGCGGAAGCCCGAAGACAGCTTATCACAGTCATCAGAACGAGACAGTCATAATTTCTCAGCCATGTTATGAGAAGAGGGAAAATTGAACATGTTGTGACCACTGGAAAGATCTGTAGAAGGAAAGATAAAGAAAGACAATGAGAGAAGATTCTTGACAGTCTTATTGCATGGCATGGAGGTGTGTCGGCACACAAACTGATACATGCTGCAGGAGATCGCAGATTGTGAAGAGGCATGATCGCCCACGCCAGTCAGCAAGGCACCTGATGATGATGATGATGACAGGCAAATAATTGACAGATACAACCTTAAAAAAAAATACAAAGACAGATACAGGCAAATAAAAACAGATACAGACAAATACACATTAGAATACCTCCAGGTCTGTGTCTTAGATGCTATGAACCCAGCTTCATAATTCCAACATCTCAGGTTTGATTTGGCTGTAGGGGATTTGGATGCAAACTTTTTTGTGTTGATTTCAACAACTGTATTAGTGTCGCCTGTCATGAAAGCAATGGCAAACTACTGAATGTAAAATTGCAGAGTAAAACCGCAAACAGCTAATAAATGTTGGCAAAGCTTGCAATATTCTGTAATGGATTTGCAATTTACTTCTTTTAATCATTAGAATACGTAGATAGGCAGAAATGAAGGCACAGTTAGGGATAGACAAATAGACTAGAATAGACAAATAAAAATTACTCAGAAATAACTGCAGCCAGTGTGACTGTGATCAGTCTGTTTGATATTTCAGAACTGAGACCAGAAACTTTCAGCACTGGGGACCTGTCCGCACGGATCAGAAACTTTGTTTCAGACAACGAAGAGCCAGTGGAAAAGCCTGCAGAAGCCAGGCTGCCCCCATTTTCTGAGCTGCGCTACTTAAATTTGTCCCATAACAAGGTTTGGGTGACAGTTGCTGTTCCTTAATACTAGCCTGAGTTTTTGTACAAACATGCATAGTACAGCGATGTAGTCATAGGTCAAGGTCAAAACATGCATAGTACAGGGATGTAGCCCTGGGTCAAGGTCAAAACCTGCATAGTACAGGGATGTAGCCCTGGGTCAAGGTCAAAACATGCATAGTACAGGGATGTAGCCCTGGGTCAAGGTCAAAACATGCATAGTACAGGGATGTAGTCCTAGTTCAAGGTCAAAACATGCATAGTACAGGGATGTAGTCATAGTTCAAGATCAGATCTGTTTAGCTTCATTCTTCCTGCAGACCTGCAGCAGAGAGCCCTGGGATAACCAATCAAGATGCTGGACACTGTCCATTGTTGAGCTGTAACTGGACAATGCCTCTATTGCTTATCCTTGTCTATCGTTAATGAAAGAGTATGGGGAGCCTAGACTTGCATTCTAAGATTGCAGTATCTGTTGCCTGTGCTACATACATAATATCAGTGTTTCAGCGTATTCTGGAAGTTAGGCAATCTTCTGATGTGTGTGTGTTTTTGTGTGTGTGTTTTTTTTTTGGTAGTTCTTATAAGTAGTTGATAAGATTTCATTCTCATACAGTATCTAAATCACTTTGTTATCTGTTGATGAATTTATCTGCTTTATTTTTTTTATTTTAGCAAAAAAATTTTATAAAACCTCGGTTCCCACACACAACTTTCCTGAAAAGGGGGGAGGGGGTTGGTGATGCTATAGCAAACACTAGCAAAACACAGATATGTTGAAATAAGTTATGCTGCAAGGGTTGTTAAGAAACATTCCTTTATAAACATCTGGACACCTATGTTGCGAGATTGCTAGAGAAATGTGTTTTCATGTCCCTGTAGATTTATGAGGAGAGTGGACTCTTGGCTGTGGCTGCCTGGCCGGTCCTGGAGGAAGTGGAGATCTTTGACAATCCTTTGACAACAGAGAGCACAGGAGATCCACCTCTGTTGAAGGTGTTTCTGCAAGAAAGGCTTGGCATCAAGTTGAACAGGTGAGATCATGGCATCAAGTTGAACAGGTGAGATCATGGCATCAAGTTAAACAGGTGAGATCATGGCATCAAGTTAAACGGGTGAGACCATGGCATCAGGTTAAACAGGTGAGATAATGTCATCAAGTTGAACAGGTAAGATCATGGCATCAAGTTAAACAGGATAGATCACGGTATCAGGTTAAACAGGTGAGATCATGGTATCAGGTTAAACAGGTGAGATGATGGCATAAAGTTGAACAGGTGAGATCACGGTATCAGGTTAAACAGGTGAGATTATGGTATCAAATTAAACAGGTGAGATTATGGTATCAAGTTGAACAGGTGAGATCATGGCATCAAGTTAAACAGGTGAGATCATAGCATCAGATTAAACAGGTGAGATCATGGCATCAAGTTAAACAGGTGAGATTATGGTATCAAGTTAAACAGGTGAGATCATGACATCAAGTTAAACAGGTAGGATCGTGGCATCAAGTTGAACAGGTGAGATCATGGCATCAGGTACACAGGTGAGATCATGGCATCAAGTTAAACAGGTGAGATCATGGCATCAGGTTAAACAGGTGAGATCATGGCATCACATTAAACAGGTGAGATTATGGTATCAGATTAAACAGGTGAGATCATGGCATCAATTTAAACAGGTGTGATCATGGCATCAATTTAAACAGGTGAGATTATGGTGTCAGGTTGAACACATCAGATTCAACAGGTAAGGTTGTTGAAGTCTGAGCATTTAGCATGTTAGTATGTTTTCCGTATTGTTGACAATCTGTACACTCGTTCTCATTTCGGTTGTTTAAATGTGATCTTCATTGTTGGCCTATATCATCCATCTCTGACTGTTGAAATATTTGTTGTTTATTTCCCGCTACCCCCAGAATAAAACCCCAGGGGAACTTGAACAGCGCAAAGAGAGCTAAAACAGAAATTCGTCCCAAGCACATAAAGGTAAACAAGATTCTTTGTTGCCTTCTTTTGATGTTTCTGTTAATCAGTCATGTTTGTACCAACACCATCAGTGTCTTCAGTGTATCTCTTGATGTTTTTGTTAGTCATGTTTGTACCAACACCATCAGTGTCTTCAGTGTATCTCTTGATGTTTTTGTTAGTCATGTTTGTACCAACACCATCAGTGTCTTCAGTGTATCTCTTGATGTTTTTGTTAGTCATGTTTGTACCAACACCATCAGTGTCTTCAGTATATCACTTGATGTTTTTGTTATTCATGTTTGTACCAACACCATCAGTGTCTTCAGTATTTCACTTGATGTTTCTGTTAGTCATATTTGTATCAACACCATCAGTGTCTTCAGTGTATCTGTGTCAGTGTTTTGCTAAAAAGTGTCAGTGTTTTGCTAAAGAGTATCAGTGTTCTGCTAAAGAGTGTCAGTGTTTTGCAAAAGAGTATCAGTGTTCTGCTGAAGAGTATGAGTGTTCTGCTGGGGAGTGTCAGTGTTTTGTTAAAGAGTGTCAGTGTTTTGCTGAAGAATGTCAGTGTTTTGCTGAAGAATGTCAGTGTTTTGCTAAAGGGTATCAGTGTTCTGCTGAAGAGTGTCAGTGTTTTGCTAAAGAATGTCAGTGTTCTGCTGAAGAATGTCAGTGTTTTGCTGAAGAATGTCAGTGTTCTGCTGAAGAGTGTCAACTTTGTACCGAAGAATGTTGCTGAGTATGGGAAATGGTGGGGGTACATGATCAGATGATGTCAACATCAGTCTTCCAACTGACTGATCTATGATGTCAACATCAGTCTTCCAACTGACTGATCTATGATGTCAACATCAGTCTTCCAACTGACTGATCTATGATGTCAACATCGGTCTTCCAACTGACTGATCTATGATGTCAACATCAGTCTTCCAACTGACTGATCTATGATGTCAACATCAGTCTTCCAACTGACTGATCTATGATGTCAACATCAGTCTTCCAACTGACTGATCTGAGAAATTAACAAATGCTACAGACTGAGAAATTGATGAAGGCTACAGACTGAGAAATTGATGAATGCTACAGACTGAGAAATTGATGAATGCTACAGACTGAGAAATTGATGAATGCTACAGACTGAGAAATTGATGAATGCTACAGACTGAGAAATTGATGAATGCTACAAACTGAGAAATTGATGAAAGCTACAGACTGAGAAATAGACAAAATTGTTTGTATGATAATGTGAGCAGCCATTTTGTTTTTCTGTGACCACTGACTTGCCCGTACTTCCGTCTGCATCAGTCAGTCAGGTGCCACCTGCATCAGTCAGTCAGGTGCCGCCTGCATCAGTCAGTCAGGTGCCGCCTGCATCAGTCAGTCAGGTGCCGCCTGCATCAGTCAGTCAGGTGCCGCCTGCATCAGTCAGTCAGGTGCCGCCTGCATCAGTCAGTCAGGTGCCGCCTGCATCAGTCAGTCAGGTGCCGCCTGCATCAGTCAGTCAGGTGCCGCCTGCATCAGTCAGTCAGGTGCCGCCTGCATCAGTCAGTCAGGTGCCGCCTGCATCAGTCAGTCAGGTGCCGCCTGCATCAATCAGTCAGGTGCCGTCTGCACAAAGAAGGTTGGCTGCAGTGACCCTGTCTCTTGTCTTGGTTGTACTCTCTCAGACTGCAGTTCGTCCATCTCTTGATGTTTTCATCCCAATTGCAACATTGTGAACCTCTTGTTTTCTGTTATGCTCAAACAATATTCATGTTCACATATACGAGGATCTCAGAGATAGTGAAAGACATGATCAGACAAGTTCAACACCAGTCTCAAAACTGACTGACCTAGTCACTGAATATGTGAATCTATCTTTCACTTCTTTCCTTCAGATAACAGAGATTGTGCCGAAAATCCCCAAGATGTCCGCTGAAGAGAAGATGATGTTGCAGCTGCCTCCATCAACAACACATCAACCAGTGGAGTTTAACTCATCATCTGATCTCAGGGCCACTTCAGCAGGTTATCAGTCTCTTCTGTACAGTTTTATATTGAGTCATTCTTAGCTTAGAATGTTAACTCATTACATACTTAAAATATCAGGCTAATCACAGACTTGCCATTATGGGGACTGGAAGCACCATACAAATATTGGAAGTCTATGGGGACTGGAAGCACCATACAAATATTGGAAGTCTATGGGGACTGGAAGCACCATACAAATATTGGAAGTCTATGGGGACTGGAAGTACCATACAAATATTGGAAGTCTATGGGGACTGGAAGTACCATACAAATATTGGAAGTCTATGGGGACTGGAAGTACCATACAAATATTGGAAGTCTATGGGGACTGGAAGTACCATACAAATATTGGAAGTCTATGGGGACTGGAAGTACCATACAAATATTGGAAGTCTATGGGGACTGGAAGTACCATACAAATATTGGAAGTCTATGGGGACTGGAAGTACCATACAAATATTGGAAGTCTATGGGGACTGGAAGTACCATACAAATATTGGAAGTCTATGGGGACTGGAAGTACCATACAAATATTGGAAGTCTATGGGGACTGGAAGTACCATACAAATATTGGAAGTCTATGGTGGCTTGTGTAGTTGCAATCACTGATGTGGAATTTGACTGTAGCATTCACAGAATATGTGGCGTCCGTGGCTAAGGCGTTGCGAGTCCGACTCGCAAGCCAGCATACCGCGATCAAAACCCACTGCAGGATTTTTATCGTGGTATGGGACGTCGCAGGTCGACCCAGCCTAAAATGGGTACCAGGATGGGCTGTCCTGGGAAAGTAAAGACAGCCGGCGTAATGCTGACCACATTACCCACAGAGTGCTGATGGTCTGTAAAAATATGGGACGCTCTGCCCATATGCCCGATGCGCCGAAAGGCGTGAAAAGGGATCTTTACTTACTTTATTACTTATACACACAATATGTTACTGTCACATCAGATCAAAGATAGCCCCTGTGGTATAGTGGTTAGATGCTCATCTGTGGGTCCAAAAGTCATGGGTTCAGAACCGGATTGAGTCAGATATTTTCAAAAATGACCTTGGCTTCCAGGTGGACCCAGCCTAAAGTAGGTACCAGGTGGACCCACCTAAAGTGGGTACCAGGTGGACCCAGCCTAAAGTGGGTACCAGGTCGACCCAGCCTAAAGTGGGTACCAGGTGGACCCAGCCTAAAGTGGGTACCAGGTGGAGTTCTGGGAAGTAAATGTGGCTGACTGACTGCTGTACCAGAATGTAAGTCTAGTATGATATACAGGTGTGCAACTGGAGAGGGGGGGGGGGGGGGGGCTGTACTTACATTAGAGCAGAGTTGAAACACAATATCTATATGTCTGTCTGTCCCTCTGTCTATCTATATCCTCCTCATGTTGCCACTGACACACGAATTTATCTCCTTTGCTTCTGATCGGCTGTTTTTGGCCCATGGTATCCCCTGTCACTTTGCATTCCTGCATTCCCTTTCTCCTATCCTTCTGCAAGTTTCCTTCCGTCACCCATGTATCCTTCTTTCCATCTGCAGAGGGCTGTCCATGCCAAAATATCATGAGGCACTCTGCAAGCATGTCCAAGCGGTCTGCTTCTTCTTCTGTTGGTAATGTTTGCCAGTGATGAACATTTTGTTTCCTTGTCAGTTCTTAATTTGTCAAAACAGAATATGTTACTTACCATATTTGACAGAACATATGATATGATATTAGTCTACATTGTTTTTTTGTTTTTAAACAGATATTTATTGTCAGAACATTTCCCATAATTTTCTGTTCGGTTGTCAGTTTCCTCAGACACAGCTACCAGTGGGCACCAACCACCATCAAATATCCATGTTCCACAATCCACCATCCAATATCCGTGTTCCAACAACCACCATCCAATATCCGTGTTCCACCAACCACCATCCAATATCCATGATCCACCAACCACCATCCACCAACCACCATCCAATATCCATGTTCCACCAACCACCATCCAATATCCACGTTCCACCAACCACCAAGCATCCAGAGGAACATTTTTTTAATTTGTATTAAATTGAAATCATTTCTGTATATTATTAAATCACCTTTGTTATGCCTGTTTGTTTAATGTTTACTTTATGTAATGGAATATGCAATAGTTTTACTTGATTGATTCAACAGCCAGCAGTAAGAAACCTGTGCTGCCACCTATAGGAACCACAGATTGCGATGCAGCAGTAGAAGCCGAGCTGGAAACGGAAAGGACTCAGGAAGGAGAGGAGAACTTGGTATTTACAGAAGATGGCAGAGGAGGAGCAGGTTTACCTGAACAAGAAGGGTTTGACCCTTTCTTCATGACACAGGTACCTCTCAGATTAAAGTTTGACAATAATTAACATCATCATTATGTTCTATGTAGTTGCCGGCTTGCACATTTTGTTTGGAAATATGTTTTACAATGTTGTTGGCGATGAACTGGTACATGCAAAATGTGCTATTTTTAATTTTGAAATTAGAGCCTTTAATTTGTTTTGTCCTAATAGTTTAATTCTTTCCAGATGGCACACTTTTTTGTAAAAACATGCACTAGAAATTCTGAGTAAACAAAATGTGCACACATATCGTGTCCTATCATGTTGGGTAAATACGTTTTTGTGACCAGAAAGTCAGCATTAGATTGTTCTGGAATCTCAACTAACAATGTTCTAGTCACGTTCTGGAATCTCAACTAACAATGTTCTAGTCATGTTCTGGAATCTCAACTAACAATGTTCTAGTCATGTTCTGGAATCTCAACTAACAATGTTCTAGTCATGTTCTGGAATCTCAACTAACAATGTTCTAGTCATGTTCTGGAATCTCAACTAACAATGTTCTAGTCACGCAGCTTTTGAGTAATTGATGTTGCTATTTTGAAGCCCCACCCGCAATAGCCTCACAGTTAAACACGGTTTCTGGGTGACCCTCCTCCACATGATGGCACTTCCCAAACTGTGTGCCCCGGGGAAGCCCCAACCTCTTCACAGGTTTGCAGCAAAATATTCAAAGATCCACAAGTTTTTTTTGTATCTCTTACATACAAATAGTCACACTTTTACTTAGGTCAGGGCGCCGAAAAAAAATCTTAACTGAAAAAACCTCAGCGACCAAGAAAAGTTAGGGAAACACTGTACTATAGTCATGCAGTTAACTCCCCTTCCCTGCCTGGTTCTGACTGATTCTATTACTTGGAGATATTGACAGTTGCACAGAATGAATGTAGAGTTGTTGGCAAAACCATCAGGAAAGCTAAATTAATTTTATTAGACGTATACAAATAAAAACATTCTGTGCAGTACCACAATAAGATCAGCTGCAATGTACTACTGTTGTCTTTGGGAATATTACCTGGTGACTGCCCAGTCTTTTCCATTGGTGTGAATCTCGTACTATTGACTGTAAACTGCAAGAACTATTTTATTAAACTATCCACCACAGGAATCAAACACTAATACTCAAGAAAAACTGTTAACTGCAATCACTAACCTCAGGCTTGCCAACAACAGACAATACAGAGAAATGAGCTTGAATGAGTGCATTACTTGACAAACTAAGTAGAGGAATATGCTGACACATGTTTCTGGATAGCTTCAAGAGCTGGTTAACAGATAGTAATGTAAATAACTTTATTAAAATATCAGTAACAGATAGTAATGTAAATAACTTTATTAAAATATCAGGTAACAGATTGGGAGAAGAATCCTGGCCACCGGTTTCTGCTCTAGGCCAACCAAATGAAGATGAAAATCATGGATTCTGTGCTTATTTGTCTAATGATTCTGTATGTTGCCTTTTATTACTGACGTAGCCATTGAAGAAAGTAAATATTTTAATCTTGAAAAAGGTTTATTAGTGTTATGTTCTACCTCTGACCACCTGTCACAGCCAATCCAGAGGAGATGTGACAGAGAGCTCATTTGCTGCTGACACGTCAGTGATGGCATGGAACACAATGTTGAGTTCATTCAGATGTGTTTGCTACTCTTTCCTGCTCAACCATGATATCTAAACTGCTGTGTCTGTCGTTTTGCTTTCTGTGTCTGTCTGTCTATCTGTCCGTGTCTTTGTTGACTCAGCCATGGGTCACCTCCACATAGTCTGTTCCCACTTCCTACCACACAGTCTGTTCCCACTTCCTACCACACAGTCTGTTCCCACTTCCTATCACACAGTCTGTTCCCACTTCCTACCACACAGACTGTTCCCACTTCCTACCACACAGTCTGTTCCCACTTCCTACCACACAGTCTGTTCCCACTTCCTACCACAAAGTCTGTTCCCACTTCCTACCACACAGACTGTTCCCACTTCCTACCACACAGACTGTTCCCACTTCCTACCACACAGTCTGTTCCCACTTCCTACCACACAGACTGTTCCCACTTCCTACCACACAGTCTGTTCCCACTTCCTATCACACAGTCTGTTCCCACTTCCTACCACACAGACTGTTCCCACTTCCTACTACACAGACTGTTCCCACTTCCTACCACACAGTCTGTTCCCACTTCCTACTACACAGACTGTTCCCACTTCCTACCACACAGACTGTTCCCACTTCCTACCACACAGTCTGTTCCCACTTCCTACTACACAGACTGTTCCCACTTCCTACCACACAGTCTCTTCCCACTTCCTCCCACACAATCTATTCCCACGTCAAGAAATCCTCCATGAAATGTTAATGATCCTGCGTTCTGTTCAAACTGTGTCCATGCTGCAGGCGAGGGGGGCCCGTCACTCTAATGGACTGATTGCCCATCCCCTTGGCTGTACTATAGTGCAGTCATGCTTTCTATGAGCTCGGCTCACCCATCACATCTTCCTCATGATAAGTTACTTGTAATTCATCCCCTCAATGAACAAAGTCTGCTTTCTATGAGCTCGGCTCACCCATCACATCTTCCTCATGATAAGTTACTTGTAATTCATCCCCTCAATGAACAAAGTCTGCTTTCTATGAGCTCGGCTCACCCATCACATCTTCCTCATGATAAGTTACTTGTAATTCATACCCTCAATGAACAAAGTCTGCTTTCTATGAGCTCGGCTCACCCATCACATCCTCCTCATGATAAGTTACTTGTAATTCATCCCCTCAATGAACAAAGTCTGCTTTCTATGAGCTCGGCTCACCCATCACATCCTCCTCATGATAAGTTACTTGTAATTCATCCCCTCAATGAACAAAGTCTGCTTTCTATGAGCTCCACTCACCCATCACATCTTCCTCATGATAAGTTACTTGTAATTCATCCCCTCAATGAACAAAGTCTGCTTTCTATGAGCTCGGCTCACCCATCACATCCTCCTCATGATAAGTTACTTGTAATTCATCCCCTCAATGAACAAAGTCTGCTTTCTATGAGCTCCACTCACCCATCACATCTTCCTCATGATAAGTTACTTGTAATTCATCCCCTCAATGAACAAAGTCTGCTTTCTATGAGCTCCACTCACCCATCACATCTTCCTCGTGATAAGTTACTTGTAATTCATCCCCTCAATGAACAAAGTCTGCTTTCTATGAGCTCGGCTCACCCATCACATCCTCCTCATGATAAGTTACTTGTAATTCATCCCCTCAATGAACAAAGTCTGCTTTCTATGAGCTCGGCTCACCCATCACATCCTCCTCATGATAAGTTACTTGTAATTCATCCCCTCAATGAACAAAGTCTGCTTTCTATGAGCTCCACTCACCCATCACATCTTCCTCATGATAAGTTACTTGTAATTCATACCCTCAATGAACAAAGTCTGCTTTCTATGAGCTCCACTCACCCATCACATCTTCCTCATGATAAGTTACTTGTAATTCATACCCTCAATGAATAAAGTCTGCTTTCTATGAGCTCCACTCACCCATCACATCTTCCTCATGATAAGTTACTTGTAATTCATCCCCTCAATGAACAAAGTCTGCTTTCTAGGCTTTCCTAACCTACCTTTTTACTCCTTACATATGTGTCAGTTTTCCATTGATGCCTGATACTTTTGATCCCTCATATTCTCCTTATTTCAATTAACCCGCTCCTGACAATTAGAAAGAATAAATGATATTAAAGAAATGAAAACATAAACATGCAATTAAACGTTGCAGCTATATTTCCTAAGCAACTCTGTGATTTATTGTTGTTGTCATATTCCATTTTTTGTGTGTGTGCAGGTGGATGATACTGCACATGACAGACCAACAAATATGCCCAGCAGCAGTTTGCATATGCAAGATAATCATATGCAAGATAATCATATGCAAGATAATCATATGGAAGATAATCATATGGAAGATAATCATATGCAAGATAATCTTATGGAAAATAATCAGTCAGAGAAAATTATCTATGACGGACACATTCAGAAGAAACCAGCATCAGCCGTCAGTGATAAATACAAAGGTTACGAACTTCTCCTTGACATTGAAGACTTGGAACATGAACCCACGCTGCCACCAGCAAAAGGTAACTAACTCTGTTTGGTTTTTTTCATCTTCATTCATTATTTACATGGTGTATCCAATTGTACATGCAGAGTGCACATTGTTCATTGAAGGTTTCATAACAACACAGCAGTTATAGGTTTTGTATAATTAACAACATCAGGGTACCGGGTTCGATCCTAGCTGCGCGCCATGCACCTTGCGTTGTTTCGACAATGGTATCAGGCGGCTGACCGTCCAGAAAGCAATGGCAAACCACTGGACGTACATTTGCCTACAGAGCCAGGGGCTGCTGGGGTTGGTTCTGCAGCGTCCTGTAAAGGATACGCAATTAACCAAATTAACAACACTGGAGATTATATAGCAGTAGTTCTTACTGTAGCTATATAAAGTTACAAGTAAGAGAGAAGATGGAAGCTAAAAACGAACTGATAATTCCTTGCCATATGGTCTTTGCTTGGATTTTGTACACTGTATGACTTTAGACAACACTCGTTTTGCTTTCTACATATGTTTCCTTGATGTTATATGGCAGTTTTTGGTCACTCCTTAAACTGGGACAGCCACTGAGGAGGACATGGTTTGAGTCACAAGAAGACACTATGTTAATGCAATGGAAAAGCTGTGCTACATTCTCAAAGTTGACTTCTGAAATTCTTCCAGAATTTGCACAATAGCTGGGAGAATGTGTGTATTCTGAAGGAGACTTACTTTGAAGGGAGTCGGGGGTCTCAGCTCTCTATGCTGGATAACTGCATTTTTTTCTGAGTATGGTATATCCACTGGATCAAGAAACAAGTTTAAGTCTAGTGTTGTGACTACAGTGTTGTTCTATTGTTTGGCACATGACTGTTAATGGTTTGTGTTGGACTGTTGGTAGTTTGTGTTGGACTGTTGGTGGTTTGTGTTAGACTGTTGGTGGTTTGTGTTAGACTGTTGGTGGTTTGTGTTGGACTGTTGGTGGTTTGTGTTAGACTGTTGGTGGTTTGTGTTGGACTGTTGGTGGTTTGTGTTAGACTGTTGGTGGTTTGTGTTGGACTGTTGGTGGTTTGTGTTAGACTGTTGGTGGTTTGTGTTAAACTGTTGGTGGTTTGTGTTAAACTGTTGGTGGTTTGTGTTGGACTGTTGGTGGTTTGTGTTTTACTGTTGGTGGTTTGTGTTAAACTGTTGGTGGTTTGTGTTAAACTGTTGGGGGTTTGTGTTAAACTGTTGGTGGTTTGTGTTAAACTGTTGGGGGTTTGTGTTAAACTGTTGGTGGTTTGTGTTGGACTGTTGGTGGTTTGTGTTAAACTGTTGGTGGTTTGTGTTAAACTGTTGGTGGTTTGTGTTAAACTGTTGGTGGTTTGTGTTAAACTGTTGGTGGTTTGTGTTTTACTGTTGGTGGTTTGTGTTGGACTGTTGGTGGTTTGTGTTGGACTGTTGGTGGTTTGTGTTTTACTGTTGGTAGTTTGTGTTGGACTGTTGGTGGTTTGTGTTAGACTGTTGGTGGTTTGTGTTAAACTGTTGGGGGTTTGTGTTAAACTGTTGGTGGTTTGTGTTAAACTGTTGGGGGTTTGTGTTAAACTGTTGGTGGTTTGTGTTGGACTGTTGGTGGTTTGTGTTGGACTGTTGGTGGTTTGTGTTAAACTGTTGGTGGTTTGTGTTAAACTGTTGGTGGTTTGTGTTAAACTGTTGGTGGTTTGTGTTTTACTGTTGGTGGTTTGTGTTGGACTGTTGGTGGTTTGTGTTAAACTGTTGGTGGTTTGTGTTAGACTGTTGGTGGTTTGTGTTAAACTGTTGGGGGTTTGTGTTAAACTGTTGGTGGTTTGTGTTAAACTGTTGGGGGTTTGTGTTAAACTGTTGGTGGTTTGTGTTGGACTGTTGGTGGTTTGTGTTAAACTGTTGGTGGTTTGTGTTAAACTGTTGGTGGTTTGTGTTAAACTGTTGGTGGTTTGTGTTTTACTGTTGGTGGTTTGTGTTTTACTGTTGGTGGTTTGTGTTTTACTGTTGGTGGTTTGTGTTGGACTGTTGGTGGTTTGTGTTGGACCGTTGGTGGTTTGTGTTGGACTGTTGGTGGTTTGTGTTGGACTGTTGGTGGTTTGTGTTTGACTGTTTCAGACATCCAAGGTAATGTCCGGGCCCTAAGGCATGCGCTGAATCACCTGTTGGTGTTCAGGGATCCAGCGGTGGAGCTCAACAAGGTTCATAAAATGGTTCAGGAATACAGGAGGGTGAGTTACCACAGTGAGGATGAGGTGCTACGTGATTCTTAGTTGTTACAGACTTGTAGGATGTGTTACAGAAGCATAAGATGTATGATAGTAATTTGTTACAGACATGTAATTGTGTTACAGAAGCATCAATTGTTGTATGATTGTTACTTGTTACATACTTTTTGGATGTTAAAGAAGCATCAGTTGCTGTATTATTGTTAGTTGCTACATAAGAAATTAAAAGAAATACTAAACTAAAAATTTTTAATTCTATTATTAAATCAGTACTTTTGTATGGGGCGGAAACATGGAGAACAACTGAGGCAATCACTAATAAACTACAAACATTCATTAACTGGTGCTTGTGCAGAATAGAAGGAATTAAATGGTATGATATAATAACTAATGTTGAGCTTTGGGAGAGAACTAAACAGGCTCCAGTGGACCAAGAGGCGAGGAAAATACGCTGGCGTTGAATAGGACTCACACAGAGAAAACAGGAGAACAGCATAACTAGAATGTCTTTGCATTGGAACCCACAGGGCCATAGGAATAAAGGAAGGCCAAAAAACACATGGAAAAGAGAGCTGGAGAATGAAGCTAGAAAGATGGGGAGGACATGGGGAGAGCTCTATGCAATGGCGAAGGATAGAACGACTTGGCGTGAGTAGGTTGAGGGCCTATGCTCCATTGGGGGATAGAAAGGCGGAAGAAGAAGAGACATACTTGTTGGATGTGTTACAGAAGCATAAGTTGCTACAGAAAAGGTGAGTTGCTGGATTGCTGTTAGTTGCTATGGAAAGGATGAGTTGCAAGATGGTTGTGAGTTACTACAAGAGGATTGGATTACAGGACGATGGGGAACAATAGTGCCAGAATTGGTAGGTCACATAGTGCCAGTGACATGGAGCAGTGAAAGATCTTGAGACAGAATTTGTAGGTTGCGACTGACATGGAGCAGTGGAAGATCTTTAATACGAACACATCCTCTTAATGGGGACACAACTTCAGCTTCTGCTGGGGAAGCCAAACACTTATGACCCTGTCATGAGTTCAGCAATGCTGATTCTGCATCATAAATGTCTGTCTGTTGTTGGACTGAAGATGGCATCTGTGTCTGTATTCTCTAGGTTCCAGTGCCACCAGCTAGACCTCATTTGACCTACCAGCAGAAGGTGGACCAGGTCTTGAGCAATCTGAAAACTAGGTCGACCCTGGAAGAAGAAAATCTGGCCACAGTTCTTGAGGACAAGGGCAGACTGCATCAAAAGTTCTCGGAGGCAGATCAGTTGTTAGGCCGGGTGGGTGTTTACTTTTGTTGATTGCCATACCGTTCTTATTTCATTTACTTGCCCTCCTACCTGCTTCCTCAGTGTGTGTGTGTGTGTGCACGCACGCGCCTGAATATGTGTGTCCATGTGTACATGTATGCATGTGTGTATTCTTCCAACCCTACTGCTCTCTCATGAGAGAAAGAAGATATGAACGACTGACATCTTAGAGGAAAGGTGTACAGTCAGTATACTGGTGTGATCTAAAATTGAATTCTGCACTGACTGGTGAAGAGTAGGATGGAGTGCCTATGGAAATGTTGTGATTGCTATGATGCTGGTTCAAAACCCAACTTCCCTCAACTCAGCTTGAATTGCTGAGCTGTTCTAAAAACATTTTAACAACCATAAAAGTGAAGACCTGAAAATGCTTTTGATAGAAACACATTCCTTTACATAATACATACCAGGTGTGTGGTGCACATATTATGTGACTGTGAAGCCTTATTCTTTACGGCGAGTTTGACTTCCCTTACTCCTACAATCAGTATTAGTATTTCAATTTGTAATACTGAAATGGAACTTCCTTCTGTGGATACATGTTTCTTCTGGCTATCTTTCTGTTCTAGAAATAGAGTGCTCTGATATTTGAAGAACAGTTAAAATCTCTGTAGTGGGAACCGTTTATTGTGCAGATTCACAAGATGATTTTTCTCTCGCAGGTTCAGAGGCGTTACAACACGATCAGGAATCAGCTGGTCTCTGATGCCAAACAAGCCGGAAGTATTGCCGCAGAAGTTCTGGAACTGCTGGCTCCACCTGGCGCCAAATAGAACCCAGTGTTTTCAAACACGTGCAGTGTTATGTGTCACGTGTATGTAGATTTTCTGTTGATGTGTGTTTGAGGTCATTCTCTTGGTTCAAGAGGTCAACAGAGGCTGAGGGTTGTGATAAGTTAACAATAAATGTGTACGGTGAAATTTCTTGTTTTATCAGAGACAGGTGGTTCATATTCTAGAGCTGTAGCATGAGTGGGTTAACCACATGGGACATGCAGACTTTCAGCATACTCTATGGTACTGTCTGTGTCAATATCATTCTCTCTTTATAGTTTTGTTAACACTCTGTCTATCTGTTTTATCTTTCATCCTGGTGACCTAGAAAAAACAAACAAAGCCAAGCTCCCATACTTTCAGATATTCATGAATATTTGAAAAATCTGTCGAAAAGCAACCATTTTACACATTACACCAAAAACTGCACAAAACCAAGCATCCAAAATGAGAAGAAACACTAATACATAATACAGAGGGAGGAAAGAAATGATAAAAAATAAATTCAGCACAGAATCAACTGGTGTACAAATCTTGGGGCCTGTCAACTAGTTATAGCATGACTGTTGCTAGTGGGGAAAGTATCACACATACATTTCTATAAATAAAGCCAAATGTTTATTTTTTTTTTTTCAAATGACCCACTCCCACCCACCCCACTCCCATACTATTGTAAGTAAATGTAGTTATCTTTCGTTACGCTGAATGTTTGTGCAGATGCAGATGCAATGATTTGTTAGTTAAAGATCTCCTAAACATGTCCCTATGACGAGTCGGGAAAGCAGTTGTTTCCAGGTAAATGGAACTGACCGCAAGTATCAGTTTTCTGGCTTCTCTAGATGAAGGGATTATACTCTGTTTTTCTTTCTCTCTGTTTCTGACTTTATCTTTCTATTTACTTATTTCACTTTGTCTGTCTCCCTCAGTTTGCCTTTCTGTCTAGGGCTCTGTGTTCCATTCAAGCTGTCAATGAACCCAAACTTTGACTAGAAAGTTCAGAAGTACCAGTCAACGCTTAGACCAGTCTTTATCAGTAACCATTGTTGATGTCCTAGTTATCTGTCATTTTAGACAATGCAGTATGACAAGAGTGTTTATGTCTGAATCCTGACTGACTATCAACTATTTGATTGTTGTTATTTAAATACTGAAACATTATTTTATGTATGTGTTTCTCTAATGGTTTAGATAGTGAGGATAGTAGAGAAATGGGTCTATAGTTGCCTAAAGAGAATGTTGTCAGCTGAACCAGATTTAAGCAGAGGTTAAACCTTAGCAATTTTAAATACTGATGGAAAATAGTTCTTGGCTAGGCACTGATTATATATGAATCTTAAAGAATCACTAACGACCGGTGCAGCACCATAGAATTCGATTACTGATTCCATCCAAGCTGCAGCCCATGGCCGGTGTTCGAAACCGGGCGATTCCTGGGGTTTACCCAGCCTCTAGGTAATGGGTACCAGAGTAAACACTCTGTGGTAAATGGAGGAACGTCTCTGTAGCTGCAGAGTTGCGACACAGACGGATAGTTTCTTATCAGCTGTCCATACTGGTGGCAGAGCACTTATGGTTTATTACCGTGTGCAGTGATGCTGGTTCACATCTCCTGACTTTATCTTCAAAGCCAGAGGAGTTCATTCGCCTGAGGTTGAAGAGATATTTACACACTTCACAAGTCAAAGACCAAGCTGCACATGGGGCATATGGTGCTAGACCCATATTTGTCTGTTTATTATGTGAAGTACAGCAATACACTGGCTTATGTTTCTATTATGATTAATCAGCTCTCCTCTCTTGTACGTAGAGATGCAGCACTGTTTATAGTTATCTGCCCTTGCCCTTGGTTGGGAGCATCAACGAGCAACATATTTTATTTGTAGAAAAAATGTAACACATAAATTGCAAGTAAATATTAAAAAGTCACAGCAACAATGTAACACTCATATAACTTTATTGAATTATTTTCTTGCATCAGACCGGGCGAGGACAACTTTCTGAGCACACATTCTATTATCTTTCTTACATTGAGACTAGTATGTGTGATCCTGTCCCTTGTAAGCGCTTACTCTTTACTTCTGTGCATTGACTGATGAAACAGCCTTTGAGTAAAATACAGACTGTGAATCTGCAAACATAATCAGAAGGCAACAACAGCAAGTTAAAAGGGGTGTGGCCTGACAAGTGCTCTACAAAGGAAGCAAAAGAGAAATACAGTCATACACTGTGGGATACTGAGAGAGGATCTGATCACTTATGGACTGAATGGCTCAGTATGCAATGAGGATGATTGTCAACTAACTTAGTGATGTATAAAATCGGTCAGATACCCAATAGCCAAAAGATCTATAATCTGTTGCTAAATGTACAAGAAATCTGCAGTCTGTCAGTATAGTTGCACCCACCTTATAAATTTTGAATCTATGATCTGATTCATGCAACTATAATCTGATTCATGCAACTATAATCTGTCTAGTAAACTTTTCATGTGACTTGAAAAACTAGGTCATGTAAACCTACAATTGGTCATATTAACCTACAGTGCATGAAACAAACATGCAGTCTGCCTGGTACCAGAACCTATAATCTGTTAAATCTACAATCTGACGTATAAATCTACAATGTTCTAGATACTGAAATTTACAATACATCAAGCAAATCCACGGTCTATCAAGTTTGTTCAGTTTGTGAGGTAAGCACTATAATCTGCCAGATAAACGCACAATTTTACCAGTAAATCTACAATCTGTTGCCAAACTTAGTCCAGTGTCCCCCCAGTCTCCACTTCATGGGAACTTGATGGGCTTTCAGTTCTGGTTTCAGACTGGATCTTAGTTTCTGTAAGTACAATTGATTACATTAAATGTAAGTACTAGTGATTATGTTTAATGTAAGTACAAGTGATTATGTTTAATGTAAGTACAAGTGATTATGTTTAATGTAAGTACAAGTGATTATGTTTAATATAAGTACAAGTGATTATGTTTAATGTAAGTACAAGTGATTATGTTTAATGTAAGTACAAGTGATTATGTTTAATATAAGTACAAGTAATTATGTTTAATGTAAGTACAAGTAATTATGTTTAATGTAAGTACAAGTAATTATGTTTAATGTAAGTACAAGTAATTATGTTTAATGTAAGTACAAGTAATTATGTTTAATGTAAGTACCAATGATGCTACTGTCTGTAGGCAAAAGATTTGACTTAAAAGACCTTCTGTAATGATAAATAACTAGACTTGATTAGTGAAAGAATAATGTTATTCTCCCGTCCTCTACTTCATCTTTGTCCCCACCATCGATGTTTCTTTAGTCATTGCTCCCAACTGTTTGTAATATTCTTACAGCCCCTGGCATGTTTTACTGCCCCACAAATGCCTGAATTATGAAGAAATATAACAGTCAACTATAATTTGTGTGTTTTTTTTTTTTCAAAACAATTCTTTAAGGGACATTAACAAATATGTAGGCTGTATGGAATAAACTCCAGTAAATGTTAAGTTTTAGTAATTATGGCACTATTTATAAGAATTTACGTAGAAACCTTGTTGTAAATTGCATAGTAAGCCTAGGCATTGCAGCCAGAATAATATCTGCAAATTGTTCCCCTTTACTGGTCACCATTTAGGAGATGGTCCAGTGACAGACACCAGACAGACTGACACATAGATTTTCAGTTTTATATTATAAGCTTCCGCTATATGTAAGTAAAGTTAATATTGCCTGTTTAGTTGCATGGAACCCTTACCTCTTGAGTATGTTGTTCATTTGTTGGTTTATCTCCCCATTTTCTGCACATTGCTTATATTACTATGACAATAAGAAAGTGCACTTTTTCCGTTCTCTCTCTCTCTCTCTCTCTCTCTCTCTCTCTCTCTCTCTCTCTCTCTCTCTCTCTCTCTCTCTCTCTCTGTCTCTTTCTCTCTCTGTGTGAGTGAGAAAGGGAGTGAATGAGTGAGTGAGAGCGTTAAGAGGACAAGTGGAAAGCTATGGAGACGGTAAATTTGTTTGTTTCCGTATGACCGCGGGTAAAAAGCAGTGGTAAACAGTACTATAAACACGTGTCTGTTTTGTTTAACAATCTCTGTTTGGCTTCGAGGTTGGTAGTTGTGTTTAACAATCTCTGTGTGGCTTCGAGGTTGGTAGTTGTGTTTAACAATCTCTGTGTGGCTTCGAGGTTGGTAGTTGTGTTTAACAATCTCTGTGTGGCTTAGAGGTTGGTAGTTGTGTTTAACAATCTCTGTGTGGCTTCGAGGTTGGTAGTTGTGTTTAACAATCTCTGTGTGGCTTAGAGGTTGGTAGTTGTGTTTAACAATCTCTGTGTGGCTTCGAGGCTGGTAGTTGTGTTTAACAATCTCTGTGTGGCTTCGAGGTTGGTAGTTGTGTTAAACAATCTCTGTGTGGCTTAGAGGTTGGTAGTTGTGTTAAACAATCTCTGTGTGGCTTAGAGGTTGGTAGTTGTGTTTAACAATCTCTGTGTGGCTTAGAGGATGGTAGTTGTGTTTAACAATCTCTGTGTGGCTTAGAGGTTGGTAGTTGTGTTTAACAATCTCTGTGTGGCTTAGAGGTTGGTCGTTGTGTTTAACAATCTCTGTGTGGCTTAGAGGATGGTAGTTGTGTTTAACAATCTCTGTGTGGCTTAGAGGTTGGTCGTTGTGTTTAACAATCTCTGTGTGGCTTAGAGGATGGTAGTTGTGTTTAACAATCTCTGTGTGGCTTAGAGGTTGGTAGTTGTGTTAAACAATCTCTGTGTGGCTTAGAGGTTGATAGTTGTGTTAAACAATCTCTGTGTGGCTTAGAGGTTGGTCGCTGTGTTTAACAATCTCTGTGTGGCTTAGAGGTTGGTAGTTGTGTTAAACAATCTCTGTGTGGCTTAGAGGTTGGTAGTTGTGTTTAACAATCTCTGTGTGGCTTAGAGGTTGGTCGCTGTGTTTAACAATCTCTGTGTGGCTTAGAGGTTGGTCATTGTGTTAAACAATCTCTGTGTGGCTTAGAGG